TGAGAGACCCCGGGATGCCATGGAGGCAACGTTCAGCGGCACCCCTGAGAAACTGGCATTCTTCCTCCTACAAGTGCAAAAGTTCCTGAGGGACTGGGGTCCCACATTCGCATCAGACGAGCACTGAGTGGATTATATCACTTGGTGCCTGCGGGACCAGGCCGCAGATTGGTTCATGGGGCTCCACAGCATCTGAGGCCCAGAGCTCCGAGATGTGAACGCTTTCATGTGGGCCCTCCGATGGCAGTACGAGGGCCTGCTGGAGAGGGCATGCACCCGCCTGCGGGGCCTGTGCCACGGGGCTTGTATGGTGCGAAAGTACTCTGATGAATTCAAAATGCACGTGGCCAAGCTGCAAGGCTGGTCAGAAGAAGTCCTCATCGAGTTCTGCCAGGCCAGCCTGAACCTCACAATTCTGGATCAGGCTCTAGCGCAAGGCAACCCACTGATCCTCAACTGGTGGATTCAGGTGATGTGTGAAGCAGAGAACCGAGCCCATCCGCTTGAGGATGTACCAGCCCAGAAGCGGCCCCAAGTCACGGGAGACCGTGCGGGATCAAAGGATGATGCAAGGGCTATGCCTGAGATGTGGAGCCCCTGGGCATTTCTTGGCCAACTGCCCCCTTGAAAAGGGACAGGGGGAAGGAAAGCAGGCAGAAAGGAAGGAAGAAAAAAAGAAAGAAAGAAAGACCAAGCAACCGGGGACCCAGGCAAAGAACTCAAAGGCTCTCTAGGTAAGTGAAAGGGGGGATCTGGACGGCACCTTCTCCAGCGGAGATGAACCCTCACCGGCGGCGGGAAAAGGCTGGGACCTGCTGTGAATGGCGCAACCTGGCAGGTCCGAAAGTCCAAGGTGCAAAGCTTGGTGAGAACCTCCCCCCCCTGTTTTATTTGACTGTAGTGAACCCCGAACTAGGCACCCAGATTCAGGTGTGGGCCTTAATTGACTCGGTGTGCCCAGAACTTGATTAGCTCTACTTTAGTCACCGGGTTGGGAGCACTCGTTCATGTACTCCTGGAGCCCCTAGTGTTCACCCAAATGGGTGGGTCCCCTATGAAAGAAGCCTGCAAATACCAGGCTGTACCATTGGGGATGGGAACCCATTGGGAGCAATGCTCCTTCATTATCATCCCCTCAGCCAAATTTTCAATGGTACTGAGCAATCCCTGGCTCTGAGATCACGACCCGTATATCCAGTGGAGCGGGGGAGCCCTGTACTTCCCTGACCCCTGATGCAATGGACATGAGTGAAGGGCAGAGTGGGGGGAGGTGCCAATGTCTACCCTGGAGCGTGTGTGCTTGGCGGAAGGTGAACTTGACCTGATTCCTCCTGAGTACTGGGACTTGGCTCAGGTGTTTGAGAAGGCGGAAGCAATGAATTACTCCTTCACCGCAAAACTGACTGTGCTATAGAAATACTGCCGGGGCACAAGATGTCCAAAGGAAAGTTGTACGCCATGAGCCCAGCCGAAAAGGAGGAGCTGTGTAAGTTTATGGATAAAAACTTGGCTTGGGGCTTCATTTCCTCCCCTTTCGCTGCCCCCGTGCTTTTCTGGAAAAAGAAGGATGGGGGGTTGAGACTGTGCACTGACTACCGGGGTTTAAACGCTGTGTCCATGTCTAACACTTACTTCCTGCCCCTTATCAAAGATCTCCTGGCTGAGGCTTCACAGGGGCGCATATTCACAAAACTGGACTTGAGAGATGCTTATTTTTAGGTGCGCATCCAGGAGGGGGATGAACACAAGACAGCCTTCAATACCCCGCTGGGTGAATTTGAATACCTGGTGATGACGTTCAGGTTGGCAGGGGCCCTGAGGGTTTTTATGAACTTAATCAATGAAGTGTTTCACAAGCATTTGTACAAAGGGATCCTGGTTTATCTTGATATCCGGATCTATTCATGAGATAAGGAATTGCATGTGGTTTTAGTGAGGGACAGCTATTTGCCAAATTCTTGAAGTGTGAGTTCCATAAAGACGAACTGGACTTCCTGGGGTACTGGATCTCAGGGAAGGGACTCCAATAAGGTGCAAGATGTGTTGAGTTGGGAGCCCCCTTGGACCCAACGCTAGCTACAATCTCTTCTCGGGTTTGCCAACTTCTACCTGGCATTCATCCCCAATTTCACCCAGGAAGCCCTACCCCTGACAGACTTACTGAAAACAAAAGGAAAGGGTCCTGAGGGCAATAAACTGAGTACCAAGTTAGACTGGACCCTGGAATTTGATAAACTTAAGGAACTGTTCACCTCTGATGAAACACATCACCCCGATGAAACAAAGCCCTTCGTGATCCAAGTAGATGTGGATGTGGCCATAGGGGAGGCATCCTGCAAAGGGGGGAGGACGGAAAATTACACCCGTTAGCTTACGTGTCCAAATAACTCTTCTCTGCCTAGAGAAACTGGGCAGTTTGGGACAAAGAGGCGGCCGCCGTTAAGCTCATCCTCACTACTTGGAGGCATTGGTTGGAGGGAGCCACGGTACTGTTTGAAGTATGGACCAACCATAAAAATTTAGAAGTCCTGTGCATGCCCAGACAGTTGAGTGCTAAACAACTCAGGTGGGTGGAGTTCTTCTCTAGGTTTTGTTTCACCCTCCAACCACCTCCCCAGAAAGTCCAACTTCTTGGCTGATGCGTTGTCCTGCCTTCCCTAACATGCAAGCCAACGGGAGGAGGCAGTGGACATGATGTTCACACCTACCCAGCTGGGCAGTGCCATTGTTACGTGCAGCCAAGCCAAACAGGAAATCCCTGAGAGGGATATTGATCCCTGGATCTCCACATTCAAAACTGCTTTTTCTGATGAGGACCCGGGGGACATCCAAAACAATGACTCAGTGGTGCAACAGGACAATGGGTGTTGGTACCGAGGGGAGAGACTATTCATGCCCAAAGCACTGAGGGAGGAGATCCTGGCTTATGGGTATGAAAATAAACTGGTGGGGCATTTTGGATACCTGAAAACCCTGCACCTCCTTCAGAGCGGATATTTCCCAATATGTAAGCTCCTGCCAAATATGCTTAATGGGGAAGAAGAGAGTGGGGAAACTGCCTGGTACATTACAGCCCCTTGAGATCTCTGACAGGCCTTAGGCTGTTATTTCAATGGATTTTATAAATGATTTGCCACCTAGTAAGGGAAAGACTGTCATATGGGTGGTTGTGGACCTATTCTCAAAACAAGCACACTTCATTTTGTGCAACCAACTGCCCACTGCTAAAGCTCTGGCCAAATTGTTCATGCAGCAGGTTGTGAAGCTACACTCCCTTCCCTGCAAGATTATCTCCGACCGGGGGTCACAATTTGTTGCCAACTTTTGGAAGGAACTGATGGTTCTCTTGGGGATCGAGCCGGGTCTGAGCAGCACTTACCCCAAGACTGATGGGCAAACTGAGTGGGTGAATCAAGTAGTAGAACAATTTCTCAGATGTTTCACTAACTACCAACAAGATGACTGGGCAGACCTCCTCCCCTATGCAAAGTATAGTTATAATAATTCCATCCACAGTGCTACTGGACTTTCACCTTTTATGGCTGTGCACGGCTTTGAGGGAGCCCCCCTCCCCACTGTGGCCTCTCTAACCTCCGAAACAGGCAATTTGCATACGTGGTGGACCGACCTGAGAAACCAATGGTCCACCATACAAAAGACATTGACTAAGGCTAAAGAGGATTACAAAAAACAAGCCAACAAGGGGAGAGCTCCCGAGTGGGGCTTAAACCCAGGTGACTCTGTGTACCTCTCCACCAAACACTTGAATGGGCTCCAGCCAAGGAAAAAGCTGGGGTGGAAATACATTGGCCCTTTCAAGGTGTTGAGAGTGATCGATAAAATAGCTGTGGAACTTGAATTGCCTAAAGCTCTAAAGCATATCCATCCTGTCTTCCATTTCAGTTTGCTGAAGAAGGATCCAGGTCTGAATGCATGGAGACCTTGACCAGCAGACCCACCCCCCATGGTTGATGGTGAAGCCCACCAAGAAGTTGAAGAAATCAGATTCTAAATTGAAGCAGGGGTGCTTATACTATCTGGTCAAATGGAAGGACTTTGATGTATTTCATAATGAATGGGTGTGAGGCAAACATGTTAAAGCCCCCACAAACACTACCCCCTCAAACCTGCAGGGTGAGGGGCCTTTGGGGGGGCATAATATCAAACTCATTTTCCATTTTATTTCTTGCTTGCCATAAAAGTTGGGAGGGGGACAAGGAGAGTGTGAATTCTAAACACTTTCGCTTTCGGATGCTTTGAAGTAGATTGTAGATTAGCATGCCTGGGAACATGCACCGGCCTTGAGTCTCAGCTTACACTGTCTGGCTTTTGTCTATGTGATGGGGGGATGTCACCAAGGTGGGAACTTTGTATATCTATTGCTTTCGTGCCTCCATTTTCAGTTCTAACACAGCCAATGTACAGGCTGGATCCTATCAATGTCTCAATAAACTTTTCATTCTTCTGAATGACTGTTGTTGGGAACTGATTTCTCCAAGAGTCTGACAAACTGCTGTTCATTGAGTGGTCTTCTGTGCAGGCACACATCCCTCCCTCCTTTCCCTGCTGTGAGTTGCTGACTGAGCAAAGGTCTCCTCACTGCAGCGAAGGGAACTGAGGGAGGAGTGCTTGCCCCTGCCTCTTGTCACATGACCCTTTGAATGGGAAAGGAATCTCTACATACTGGGGGGAGGGGAGCGCTCCTAGAGCCTAGAAACGTCTTTAAAGACTTGGAAGCCGTTCTCCACGGCAGGACTACAGTCCTGCAGGTCCCCGTGTGTGCCTGCACAAAAGGCGCTCGATGATGCACAGCGGTTGCAGGTAAGGGCAGCATGTAAAATACAGATTTCTATCTCATTCCCTGCATCATTTTTCTATCTTAATACTGTAGTAACTTTGGCTAACAAGGGGTGGCAGTAATGACATGTGGAACTGCTTTGAGTTGGGGTTGCTTCTTTTCCCCTTTTTTTATTGAGCCCTTTGTTTTGCTGACTCTCCAGGTGCTGACCTGTATGCCAATGCCACGGCCGTAGGGAACACAGAGGTTTTCCAACTGCTGTTTGATGATGACACCAAGAGAGCCTGCTTCCGTGGCTACTGTGGCACATATATGGCCTTGGTGAGTCAGTCTGCAGGCTGAGAGGAATGGGTTGGATCAGGCAAAACCAACTACTTCAGTTTGTCTCCCAGCTATACACAGTAGGAGGGAGGGGCAGAAATCACCAAGATGTCTTCTTTTGCCCCACCATGCATGCCCTGTTAGTCAAGAGGATAATAGTTTCATGTGAGTGTTCCTGTTGATGGATGATCTTTGGCAGGCAAGTGGTCCTCACCGAGTAGGCTTCCCAAACTATTCCTACCAGAAACTAGAGTTGTGGAGGAGGGTCAGAGGAGGGGTCCTTTTAAAAGAAATTAATAAAACAGAAACCCAGTGATGACTTTAAAGACTAACAAAAAACGGGGAGATGGTACAAAGAGAGGCCAATTTGAAGCACTACCCAATCAAAGAGAAGTTCATCCATTCAGAGTGGATGAGGACCACTCCTACCGGACTGTAGGAAATAGGCATTGGAAGACAAACACGAAACCTAATCAAGGACGGCACAGTGCAAAACATAAATAAAATATGCTGGCATAAACTCTTAGTGGGGTTTTTTTGTTTTTAATTTTTGAATTTGAAATGACAACACATTCACAATAAGAGGGTCCTGAAATAAAGAAACAGAACCTATTTTGTAGAGACATAATATACCACTAGACTTATTTTGCTCCAACAGATTAACATAGCTTGTGGAATTCTTTTCAAAAATACATCAGTTTTCTATCATTATGTAGACTAAAAGTCCTATTGATAAAGTCAAGGACATTTGCCCCAAGAGCATGAAAGTTGGCATGAGCAATCTGTCTGATAAATGGCACTGTCAAAGGATCTCACGGCCAAGCCCTGTTTCAGGGTGAGGGGCTGGCTGGGCAAGACAAATAGACAAAAGGCCTGTAGTGTGAGTTGTCACCCCTCAGGATGCCACTGCCACCAGTCATTACCTATCTAGACAGCTAGAGACCAAGGGAGTCCCAGGCCTCTATTCCTCCCAGGTCTAAGAACAAGAAGTCAACTCTGTGAGGCAGAACACTTACAAGGTGAATTCCAGAAAAGTTACTTGGGTAGCTATAGCCAATACGGGCTAAAGTATTGGATTCAGATTGAAGCCCCAGAGTTCAAGAACACCACAAAGTATAATTAAAGGGATTTGTTAAAAGATTGTGCAACAATCTCTCCTTATATATAATTGAATAAGAACATTCTATATGAACATTCTAAATTTCACCCCTTTAGTGTTAGGCCGAAAAAACTGCCACTCAGTAACACTGGCTGGGTTGACTGGCTGCTTTGTGCAGCCCCGCCCAGCGTTCCAAGGTTATTTGCATATGGAAGCTGATTGGACAACACTCTATTCCACACCTCAAACTCACCCCCCCCGCAAGGCAGTTGGGATTTTTTCAGTTGAGAGAGGAGAATGATGTCAGCTGCTCCCTAGGCAGAGGCTGTGGGGGAGGGGGGTTGTAAAACTTAAGACAGACAGGCAGATAGGGTTGCCAACTCCAGGTTGGAAACTTCCAGGATATTTTAGGGATGAAGCCTGCTGAGGGTGGGGTCTGAGGAGGAGAAGGAAGAGGGGGACCTCAGACAGATACAATGCCATACTGCCCACACTCCAGACAAGCTGTTGCCAGTCTCCAGGTGACAGCTGGAGAGATCTTAACGCTTTGGTGCTACTTCAAAGTGCTGCAATTTATCAACACAGTAGTGTTTCAGAAAATCTTTAGGAATTGTTTGGTGCATTTACGATGGGGCTCCTGGGGAACTATTGTTGCCAATCTTGGCCCAGCAGCCATCAAACCATTTTCTTCAACCCCCTGCTGTGCAGCTGACTCCCCCGAGGGTTGCCAATCTCCAGGTGGGACCTGGAGTTCTCCCACTGTTACAATTGATCTCCAGATGACAGAGATCAGTTCCCCTGGAGAAAATGGATGCTTTGGAGGGTAGACCCTATGACCTCCAGTCGCCGGCCCTGGAGTGGGTGGGGGTGGGAGGGAAAACGGGCCCTGCAGCCGGAGGCCTCTGCCTC